CTAAGGAATTAGCATCCCTTGAATGCATTTAGGGAATCCTTTTCTTAAAATGACTGGAGAAGAAAGTGGTATTTTTGCCCATTCTGTCTTCGAATGGTATTTATTTCCAATCTGGGCTGGATGAAGATACAGAGTATGTGTTAGACCTGTGCTAGATTTGAAGTTTATCTTTTTATGCTCATAGCAAACACAACATCAGGTCATTGGAAAAGACAGACTGTTTCCTGATGTGAGAGAGCGCTTAACAGTGCTGTTCTCTCAGCAGAGAAGTTCCAGCTGCCCATGAAGGCAGGGCAGGAGCAAGGGTGTCAGCAAAAGGTGAGAGAGAAATGGGAGGACAGAAACCCTTGAGCAGGAGTGAAATGGAGTGGACCAGAGGAAAAACAGATGCTTGGATATTGAGAAATCTATTTGCCATTTTGTTTCAGTAAGTAATTTCAGTAAATTCATACTTTAAAAAAATATATAGAATGTTAGCATAGGCAGCGTGAGACTGCTTAGTGGTTAACTGAGTGATGTGAGTTGTACTAGTTCTGAGTCATTCTAATGCACTGGTCTCACAGAAATGGAAGTTTTTAAACCATGTGTCAAAATGTTTCTTACAAAATCTGTGCTTTCAGACTAACTACAAACACTGATTGTTAAAGTTGTTGAGGGACCTTTGGTTAAGATGTTCCAACTATGAATTCTATCAGGACAAGGCACTACAAGGCTACGTAGAGTTTGAGCTAGCTGGTTTTTACAGGCCTGAAAAAAGCAGCGGCCATTCTGTGATTCCTCATGCATGGTTTGTCTCCAAGTAAAATTACTGCCTGTGTAATTTAGGTTTGAGGGGGAAGAGAAGAAGTTGTTGCTGATCATTTCACTCACGACAGGGTAAAACATGTTGCAGGAGGAGAGAATGAGGAAACTTACATCTAGGTAGCAAAAGAAACAACTAGATTTTAAGAATCTTGTCCATCTCAGACTTAAAAACTTGGTCTAAGGCCAAGTGGTGTAGCTCCAGCTGTGTTCTGGTGTCTCCCTTTTTATTATCTAGCACCTCACTTTCATAGACAAGTTATTAGAAGAATTAACTCATATGTCACATGTTGCTCTGCCAGGATCTCAGTCCTTGTTTCTCTGGCTTGTTTCTCTCAGTAGAAGATGCAGAGATGGTACTATGTCAGGCTAGTGAATATCCTGCAGGACTTTTTAGTCAGTTTACGTGTATGTGGGAAGCTAGTCCGAAGAGTTGCCTCTCTTGTATCTTGACCACCATCGAGTTGTGGAGTAATTATTTCTTTCTTATCCTGCTAGTGATTTTGGTTGCTTTTGTCAGCACAGCAAGGAGGACAGACCAGCTCTCGGTGAGTCCCTCTTCTGGCATGTGATAGATGGAAACTTTACTCCTAGTTCTGTTGGTTCATGTTGAGAGGAATGAGCAAACCTGTTGCTTGTTTGTATGTGTTGGGTTTCTAGGAGGTGGGATCCATGAGTTTATCGTCATGTGTTTTATAGCACATCACTCACAGGGAGATAACCTTAGTGTCCCAGAGCAGGTAAGCAGTGGCTGTTATCTCTCCCAAGCAGGTCCTGCTTCTACGACTCACTGAAGTTATGGTTGTCCTAGGAGAATGCCAACCAGAGAGAAGATGGCATCTAAAGCTCATGGAGCCAAGGTATGAGTATTTACCTGGAAGGATGGAGAGCAGAATTTTAGCCCTTGCTTTGACCTGGCTGGAATCCGGTGCTTAAAAAGTTCATTTCTGATACTGGTGGCAGATACATCTCTTTTCCTGGGGCTGTACGTACTTTCTAAAGATTTTTGTATCTATGAGGAGAACAAGGGGGTAAATTTATACCTTAATCCAGAGTTTCTCTTCCCAGCCTGTCATGTAGAAAAATGTGTTCAGACACTTCTGGCTTCATCTCAGAATGTCTGTATAGAGCAGGCCATTTTCCTATCAGAGCTGCTCTTCTTGTGGCTGGCATCTGCCTTGTTAGCCCAGTTGTTTAGTCGCTCACTAGGAGCGATGTGTTCATAGCTGACAGGCTTCTGGCAGTTTGTTTGTGGAGCAGTTTCTTCCTCCATCATGTTCCTACTTCATGCTCAGTAGTTACACAAGAGGGAGGCTGTCTGACCCGCTGGCCCACTTGTGAGCACAGGAAAAAAAAACTTTAGTAACGTTACTGAGGGGCTGCTGGCCTTTTCTTAGTCTCTGCAGCATCCCTCATTTTCTGCCTGCCTTGATCTAGTGTAATTAGCTGCTCTAAAGATCAGAGTGGGAGGCCACCAGAAAACAGAATGGTTGCTTCAAAGCCTTATGCGCTGTGGTGGTTTCAGAGGAGTGTGGATGATTGATGCTCTGGATTCTGTTGTCATGCAGCATTGAGAAATGATCGGATCCTTAAGCTCCCACATTTACTGCAAATTCAGCTGCCCACCAAGGTGTGACTTGTGCAGCTAACTTACTGCCTTTTCTATTTGTTAATCCTACAAAATACAATAGCAGACAATTCCTCTAGAGCTGGAAAGTTCCTGTAAGTCTAATTGGTGAATCTCCATCTCTTGCTGTATAAGGAACCAAAGTTAGCCTGGGGACATTGTTCTTTTATATAACAGAAAGGAAATGGCTCTTGTCCAGGTGATCTAGAAGCCTGAGGAGCCAGATCATCCCGTGGTGTTGGCCTGGTTAGCCATTATCAGTTCTGGCTCAATTGCCTCGTTTTGTCTTTGCCCTTCTGTTTTGTTCAGTGACAGGAGAGGATGTGTGTTCCCCAGCTACCGGAGTATCTTCTGTCCTTATGAATGGGAATACTTGTGTGGAACTGCCTTTGGTGCCTGCTGGATGTTCAGCGCATGGGACAGAGTATGGGGGGAGTGGGTGGGTTTGCACCATGTATGCCAAAGCATCAGGATAGTCAGCCATTAGGTAGGAGCATTTACATCCTTAAAGACCTTTTCTGTGGGAAATGGGAAGTATTCATCTTCCTTAGGCACCCAACAGTGAATTTGTTAAATGTGAAATTCTACCTAAAATGCATGTTAGGAATTCAGAAGTTGGTTTTGAGTCACACCCCAGTGTGACAAGGATTTAAAACTAGTGTGACTGCCCATGTAGCACCATCATCCTGGGGCCATTTTTACTAACTTGAGACTTGAGCGTCTCCATGGGCAAGCTGGTGCAGCACAGGGAGGGCTCAGGTCAGCTGGCCACTGACCGAAGTCACGGAGGGTATTCCAGGACAGCGTGCTTAGCTTGTTTCGGGTGCTTTGCGTATTAGTTCACCTTTTCCACAGTTGCTATTATGTGAAAGGTCTTTGATCTGTGAATGAGTCCAACACATGGTGCTCGCTCATCCTATGTTAACAGCAGAGATGTTATTTTTAGCTCCTGAATTCTTTTCTCCTTCACTGACAGAGCTGAAGGACCTTTCAACCTCAAGGCAGGCGACTGTTGACTATGTAGTGTATTTGGGACAGCTTGCTACTTGCAGCTAACATTTCTGTTGGGAACATCTTATTTTATTTTATTGCAAAATGAGTAAGTGGCTTTTTAAGTAGCCCCCCAAAAATGAAGTTGTTCCAATAACTAAATAAAGTAGTGGTGTTTTAAAGAGAACTGTTATCTTTGAAACATGCAATTTACAGAACTCGCTGCACTTATTCCTGATTTAGAACAATTCCAGCACTAAAGTACTTGCTTATTTTTCTCCTTAAACAAACAAGGAAAACTCAAAAAGTGAACAAACAAACCCCAGACTGACATCCAACCAGGTCTCCAACAAGAGCTGGGATGAACAAGAATGCAAATAGAGCTGTCTCTTGTGAAACTGCAGTATGCAGCTGCTGTTCTCCCAGTCTTTTCTCCTGCCACTTGAGAGCACTTTCAGTCCTTTAAAGTAATCACTAGTTACTAGAAATAAGTATCACAGACACTAACATGCTGGCCACGCTGGTACAATTGAGTCTGTGAGGTGTGTGCTGGTTTATAAGGAAGCTGTCATATAATATTCTCAAGCATGACATTTTTTCTTCTTACACAAGTTTCTTACAAGTTTCAGATTCAGTTATAGACAATCTAATGACAAAGCTTCCTCAGGGAGTACCACACCTATGTGATTTATTGTAGCTCAAGCTTGACTTGGGCCAGTCCCACACCAAACAAGATTCAAGATAGCAGGCATGCTTATTTACCTTACAGTTCTTAGTGTTGCTTTTGCAGTGGTGCTCACCAATCATTGGAATAGTTTACCTGAGGCTGCAGTGGTTTTTTTCCTCACTTGAAGTCCTTTAGTAGAAGTCTGGCAGCCCTGTCTGGTTCTCAGAGCTGTGAAATGCCAGTCCCTGAACCAGAGGGAAGAGGTATGAGACAAGTCACTGGTGGTGTCTGGTCTGAGCCAGTAAAACCTCAATGTGCTCTAAGAGTGCAGCTGGCTGCTTATTGATGCGTGGGTGTCTCTCATGATTGCCATTAGCAGTAGCAGGCCATGCTGTGGCACTGTGCTCTTCTCCCTCATGGCTCCCTGGAAGACTTAAGCAGCTATAAGACATTCAAGTATAGGCTCCTACTCCTTACATGGACATAGATGGCATCCAGAAAGAAGGCAATCCACAATCAGCTTAAAACCACTTATGCATTCACTGAGATTTTTTAGTAGGAAAACTGGGATAGGGGGAGGCTGGTATTTCTAGTTGGGCCAATTCTAGCTGTGAAGGTAGCACTGGCTCTACCAATTCCTTCCTCTTCCTCTCTTCAGGAAGAAAAGTTCCATACAGACAAATCAAAACAGTGCATTTTCTACAAGGAGACACTGAGCCAAAAGCCTGCAGTCTTAGAAGTGACTGCACCTTTGCGGACTTGCATCTACTTTCTAGGGATTCATCTCTTCCAGGTGTGACTCATTTCTTTCTTAAGCCAGACACTTGACTTTTGTTTTATTACAAAGCTTTTATTAAAAAAACAAAAAACCAAACCAAAACAAAAAAAAAAACAAAAACAAAAACAAAAACCCAAAATGCTCAGCACATTAACTCAAACTGGAATGACAAAAAAAAAACAAACAGATTGACAGTATTTTTGGCCGAGGCTGTGCCTTACTATTTTAAAAAATGGGTACATCAATGCTCATTTCAACAACTGGCATAAAATCCCACTAACAGGCTAACAAAAACAGATACAAATACAGAACAATTGAAGTAATAATTCAAGTGCTGGGCTTTTTACAAGGAGAAGGGTGATGGGTGAGAAGGAGAACTCACTGCAGTCAGATTTGCTGGATGTATTGCTTATTTTTACAGAGGAGGTGATGCAAGACTGACATTGCTACTGACCAGCTGACTGTTGTTACATTTATTTAGTTCTATATGACACTGTATTATATAGACTGAGAGGCCACTATTTGTTACAAGTAGTTTAACAAAAAAGCCACCTTTTTTCCATACAGGCTTTTCCTCTGGCAGGAAAAAAAAAAAAAAAAAAAAAAAAAGGAAAATAAACCCCTTTATTTAAAAAGTAGTTCAGATTTTTGACAGTTGTTTAAAAGCTCATACCTAGTAAAATATACACCAAGGAAATTACAAACTAAAAGTTAAAATATGAAAGCATTCAAGTTTCTTAAAAAAGCTAAAACCAAAATTGATCCTGTCGCACCATTAAATAAAAAGAAGTTTTGAGTGTGTTGTCCTGGTCCAGGCAAATTCCATTCCTCGATGTGCTGTATGGGGCAGCGGTGCTCTAAGTTACTCTGTTGGCTGAAGCAGGCAGAGACAGCCACGCTACTTTGTTTGCTGAATCAACATGGACACAGATGAGACGAGGGCTTAAGAGTGCAAGGCAGAGGTGGAGTGAAGACAAAAGCTGCTCTGCTGACCCAGGAGCTTATTTGCTCTATTTATATCAGGGCTGGACCTCGTGATAGTGAAGGATTTTGGCAGTGATTGTCTTTATGATTCAGTGTCTTTAGCAGTGACATCAGGGTGAATGACATCCTAGACAGACTCCTTGGGGGTGGTCTGTGTGGATGAAGGACACACCTAGGGTTTAACAAGCTTCCATCTCCAGCAGGGGTCCTGGTGTCGCCGCCTTTGCTTTGCAAGTTGAGAAAGCATTTCTTTTCCCACCTACAGAGAAAGGAGAAAGAGAGAGAGAGAGACAGAGATAAATACTATATGAATATTTTTTTTTTTTTTTTTAAAAAAAAGCTCTTCAAAGAAGCTGTCCTGTGGGAAATATACAGTGATGGGTGACTGTTATGGTGCAGAGTATGACATACATTTGCAGTGTCCCACTTAAGTGCAGAGCATTGCTATTTGCAGTTGCTTGAAGTTTGCAAGATTATTCATGGTTTTGTTTTATGCAGGAAAGTACTTTGGATTGTAAGTAGGTGTCCTCAACAACTAGAAAGCATTTTTTACAGCTGTTTAGACGTTCAGCATATTACATAAGTAATTCCTTTCTGTAGTGGATTTAGTTTATCTATCTACAACATTTGACACAGATACCTGCTACAAAATCAGACATCCTCAGGCTTTAGCACTTACCACAGCAGTTAAGGTCAATTAAATCTCTAGTTCAGAGCCTCAAGCTCTGCTCTGTAGAAATGAAGCAACACTGTCTTCTGTAAGCAGCTGGGCCAAGGAATGCTGTGGGAGAGACTTTCTGAACAGTGACCCTATGCTGAGGAGGACTCATTCTGCTCTTTGGCAATGCAGGGTACATCTTCCAGCTGCAGGCAGCCATCAGGCCTCTCACCCAGCAGCACGGTTCACTATGATTTTGGGCCTCGCTCTTACACCATGTGAAAAGGCCAATGGCGCAAGCCTGTGGCTATTGATCCTCCCCTGTAGAGAGGTACTGTTCTTCAGCATTAGGTCTCTGGGTTACATCAGCTGACTTATGCAACTGCTGACTCAGCCGTCACCCTGCCCTTCTGACCCAGGGACTGCCTGGTGAGTCAGGCATTTTCCACAGATGGAATCCCATGGTTTTGGGATTAGCAGTATCTCAAAAGACTACGTGAGCCTCTAGGCCTCCAGGTACTGCCTACTGCCAAACAAGCAAGTCATTAAGGAATGACCGAAATTGGAACAGAAATGCAATTCAGTGGAGAAGGTGAGATGCACAAACTGCTTAGAGAAGATGCACTGCTGACACCTTGAATCTTGCAAGGTAAGACAGAACAAGTTGATGAAGAAATTGGCTTTTTAAGCCACAACTCAAATTTCTGTTACCAGAATTTGCCAACTGTGTGTACCCTGTCATACTAATTGTAATAGAATGACCGAGCACATAGGAGCCACAAGCAGAAATAATCAGCGAATATTACAGCAGTACTACGTAAACAAAGGCCATTTGTAACTGAGTCCCACCCCCTGCCCCCATGCCCTGTGGCTTGAGTGTAGGCCATTGTAACACTTTTTCCCATACTGGTTTGAGTACTGCTACTGAATGAGGAGGTTATAATGGCTCCAGGGTAGAAAATCCCCAAAACTCATTTTGGACCTTCTGAGTTCAGTGAGCACTAGATGAGAACCCAAAATCTTACTAAACAAGTTGTCTGCTTGGTGGGAGCCACCTAGGTGACCACTGTTTGAGGGAAGGGGAAAGCTGGAGGACAATGCATTTAGCTACAAAGACAGAAGGAACAAGCATGAGCTTTAGATTAAGCTGTACTGCACAGCCTTAATTTGAAGGAGGATGCTCTTCCCCCAAATGCCACCATCCCTTGGTATGTAGTGAATGACTTTCACCTGCTGTCGGTAGGCCACAAAAGGACATTTAAAGCTGCTGTGGCCTCTTGAAACAGCACAGCTGAAAGTCCACTGGAAAACCAGCAGTTTCAACGGAGGTGGTCTGCACTGACTAATTCAGTTCCTATTTCCTCGTAAAACCAGCACAAGTCCCAACTAAAAAAAGCCTTCTGAGCTTCCTGCTTCTTTTTTTTTAATTATTATTATTAAATAAATAAATAACTAGAAGAAGTAGCAGAGTGCTCCGTAACACATGTGGATCAAAGAGCTACGAAGGGCTCTACCTTTCCAAGGAGCACGAAAGAGGGGCCAAGCAAACAGCAGAGGAACACTGGGGAGAGCACCCTGCAGCTTTATATTTATTTTGTGCCTTTTCATCCCAGATTTTCAAAGGTTTGGTCCAGGTTGCTCTTCCTGGGAAGGTTTTCCTCTCAGTCTTACATGAAAACATTCAGCTTCCTGTTGAGGAATGGCCTTGAGGCGCCAGGCCAGTAGTTCACAGCAGTCTGATACAAGCGCTGTGATTCAGAGCTACTCCCCATTAGCAGCCAGGAATGTCTACTTCACTGAAGGAAATGAAATGCTCTTCTGTTGAGATGGTTCCCTGCCTCCTCCCCCCTTCCCTTACCAGCAAGCTGTCTTTGAAGTCAGGAGGTTAAAATAACGGCTGCGGCCTTACTCTGGCCCTTGGCTTTCTCCACCAGTGGCCGGCTCTTCTCTCTCATCCAAGCGCCGCATCAGCAGCTGCTGCCTCTTTTCCACAACCTCTCCCTACGCCTAAGCAGCCTCCTTTCCAGTGGGGAGGTTGCAGATAGTACTCTAATCTGTGAGGGGTCAGGCACAGAGATTATTTGTAAGCAAATGCTGCAATACAGAAAATTACACACTGGCTATCCTGAAAACAGCATCTAGAACCCAGCCTTTTCCCAGCTGCTCATTACAGCTACACGCTGGAAATTGCTTCCACTGCTGATAAACTAAATAATACCTAAAAAATAGGAATGAGGACGGTGTTGCCTTACAGATAGAAAACAGGTCAAATCAGGATTCTTTTCAAGAAACCACAGGCATGAGCTGAGGAGACTAAAGACTTCCCACATCTAAGGCTTCACTGGGGGGCTGTAGCTGAAGTCTGGCCAAGCAAGGCATGCCCTAGCAAAGCCCAATCCACAAGCGAAGTCGGCGCAATCAAAGACTGCAATTACAGCTCCCTGGCTGCGGTTAGGCTTCAAAGAAAGTGCTGCAAGTCACATTTTACATATGTGAAGCCTTGAGCCTGAGCCACAATAGGAGGCACTGTCTGTGCCATTTGCACTGTACATCTGACTGCAGGAGGAAAGAAAAAAACGGCCTTCTCGAGTAAGAAACAGAAATAATATTCAACAAAAATTCAGTGTAACAAGAGAAGCCTTGCTACTAAAATGATACAGCTGCATTTTGGGAACCACTGCCATAAAAATAAAGTGTCCTAACAAGCCTGGGCTCAACAGCTGAGGGCAGAAGCACCGGAGGGGGGTCAGAATTCCTCCCTATGCTTGGGAATGATGTGGATTGAAGGCTGGGTCTGCAAGGGCCTCGAGTTCCCCTTGCTTCTCCCATGGTTTTTCACTCATCTCCATTTGGTGGAACAAGGGAGAGGGGATTATGCAGATTCATCCAAGTGATGCTAATCAGCAGATGTTATGAAAGAGAGCTGAGCTTCTGGGCCTGGCCGGGGGAAAGCGCTGAGTGAAAGAGATATCTGGCCCTTCACAGAAGGCAAGAGAAAATAGAAGTTTTCAACCAGCATTTTTTTTCTTCACCTTCCTTCCTTCAGCACAGTTTGTTCTCATGCAGTTGTAAAAAGATGCAAGACGACAGCAGTAACATGTACTAAAAAAAAAAAAAAAAAAAAAAAAAAGCCAGTCTCCAAACCTGGGTTTTAATGCAGTACTTCAAACAACGTGGCAAGCTCAGGGATCCGACAACGGAAACTCATTTTCTTTTGAAGTCCCAAACGAACATGTTCGACTTGCTGCCAGCATGGATCCTGTACTCCCGAAACTTGAGTACGCAAAACGAGGCCATGATTTATCTGAAAGGTTCCCTCTGTTTGTGAAGCCCCTTTGTACGTTCCTCACAGCAGAGCCGTACAGAGGTTCAGGCGCTGCCGTCTGCTGCTCTTCCTGCCCAGCTGGGCCATGGTTTGTGAGGTTAGCCTAAACCAGAGCCTTGAAATGTTCTGGGCAAACAAAAACAAACACTCCACAACCTTTGTTGTTTCTAAACAAAAAAACACCTCCCAGCAAAACCCCAGTTGTTTTAGTAATCCGATTTGCTTCAGGGTCCTGCAGGCTATTGTAGCACATGGCTGGAGACCTACTGGAGAGAGGAAAAAGCCCTCTGCGAGAGCTGGGTGCCAGCAAGCACCAGAGGCATTTTTTTAAGCTGCCTTTGTTGCCAAAGAAATTAGAAAAAATTGTACTTCAAAACTGCAACAGATTCTGCCACGTTGAGGCTATGTCATTGGTAACGTTTTCTGTTCAGTTGTTACTGGGGGCAAGGATTCTTGCTATTGTAGCTTCAGCCCATTGCTGGTAACTGTGAGCAGGAGTCCAGCTACAAAATGCCCACTTGTGTTTCAGATGCACTGAAGTAGCTAAGGGCAGAGCTGTAACAGATCCCTCTTCAGTGGGTCTGAGAGCTCTTCTGAGCAGGCTGGTGTGGCACCAGGGACACCCAGGTGTTCTGCAGCTCCCGCTTTGTTCAGCTGAACTCAGCAATGCCAAAGCAGGTGTGGCTCTTATCAAAGGCCCCCTGTGTAGGCAGTGTGAAACTAGAAGCTCTATCACTGAGCTACAATCTCATTCTAGAAGGCTCCCGACATGTTTTTCCTGTTGGGGGGCAGGTTCCGTGTAATAAAAAACAGATTACCTCTAGACAGCAATCTCCAGCAGCTTCTTAAAGAAGATATACAAAAAATGATCTGTAGATATACTAAAAGTGACCTGCAAGGGGGGAAAAAATAGGCTTGTGCCCTTCTGTATCTTTATAATACTCAGAAGATTAAGACAAAGCCCCTCTGCTCTCTGAAGAAATTGAATGAACTCACATCTAATTTTTCTCTAAAATAATGATAAAATCGTAAATGTTAAAGTGCCAAGAAAAGGGAAAGACATTTAGTCAGGACTTGGTGCCAGTGGTTTCTGTTTTGTTTCGGTTTGTTTGTTTTTAGAAAAAACCTCCACACCTTGTTTACTTTATAGACTGAGAGCTGGGAAGAGAGATCCATCTGTTCTAGGGGCGCTGAAATTGTTACTGCAGTTTTAATCTGTAAGTGAGAATTTTTTTTTAAATAATGTATTTAGGGTTTCCTTTGTAGATCACCTTTTCTGCTGCCATTAAACATAGATTACACTTTATACTGTACAGGAAAGATAGTCTCAATATTTAAATCTGCAAATGTATGGGTAGAATCATTTAAATAGTCTCTTTTATACAACCAAAGGCAAGAGATGTAAGCAGAACATCTTCTTGAGTGTTACTGACTTCTACAGTCACACCCCCATAGGGCAGCACTACCAGGGTAAGACAGCTGTGCACAGAGACCACCGCAGAACTCGAACACATCAAGTTCCCTTTGATGCAATTACGTCTTCTCAGCAAAAAATCTCTAGAGGTCCAAAAAGACACAAGCCTCCTGCCGTGCATCTCAAAAGGCATGCATACGGGGAGAAAACAACTAGTCAGCAAAACTCAGTCTCACCTAATAACAAGCAAATGCACGCACCTTAAAGCTAATTAATTATATACAGTTATTTTGGAAATAGCATTTTACCTCATGCAATTTCAGGTATCTCAGGGGTGAAGGAGAGAGAGCTCCCAAAAGTCCAGAGTTTAATTCTGATGCAACTAAACGTTCACGATGAAATCCGCATCTGACATTTGCAAGGAGGAAGCAACCTCAAAAGTTATGTCTCACTGCTCAGCTGAGCCTCCTTAGTTCCCTTAACCCCCCAACCACGCATCAACAATGCATGCAACAGGAACACCCAGAGAGATGGTTCCTATTTCGCTCATCTGTACCTAACCCTGCCCACACACCAGTACCAATGACACCCTTGCACACATGCTTCCAACATCTACAAATGCTGGAAACTATGGCAGGAAGCTGCTGTCCTGAAAGACTGGACTAAAATGTATTTTGTCTAACTGGCTGGTGGTTTCATGTTTATCTGGACAGACAGCAGTGCTTCAGCTGGTCCCGCTGTGAGCTTCCAGCCCTGCACAGCTTTCTAATTTGCACACTTTCAACTTTTTTATATGGTACAGTCTTACCAAGCAGGTAAGGGATCAGAGATTTTAAAGATAACTTGCATTAGAAGTCTTAAAGTGGAGGATTAAGGAACTGATGCTACTGAAGATTCGCTCTACTAGCAG